CCCCCCCCCCCCCCCGATCACAGAGGGGTGCAAAGAGAAGGCAGCCTCGCCCAGGGTGGGTCCGGCCACTTCTCCCAGCTCCTCCTGAGACGGAGACCTGGACAGAGCCTTTCCCAGCAGGACACAGGCGTGCCTGGTTGCCCCCCCTCAAGAGCCACCCAGGGGGGCAAGTCACCTACTTTTCTCAAAGCAGCCAATTCATGGAGAAAAGCGGAGTTTCCTACAAACGGGCATCTGGTGCACTGTCCCCACCACCCACCCGCCCCCGGTCCCTACCAGCAGACGGGCTGCCTCCTCGCCGGCAAGGGAATGCAGGGTACAAGCAATACCTCTTGCTGCCCGTGTTGTCATCCCGCACGAAGTTCTCATTATGCTTGTTGATGGCATAGTTGGTCAAGTGCATACAGATGTCATCCTGTGGGAGAGACGTCGGGAGGGGGAGCCTGATTCTCCACTCTTGGAGGCCCCTGGAATCCTCCCCTCGCCCACCTGCTTCACCCTCTCCTCAAACGACCACCACCTCTCCCCGTACCACCAGTGGGACCAGGTCTGCCAGCCCAGGGAGCCCCGCAGGCCCGAGGATGGTGTTCACCGTGTCAAGTTCTCCACAGTCATTCCCAAAGCCCCATCAGATACCAACAGCTTATCTTCCTACAAAGGGAATGCCAGTTCCTGGGCTTCTTTACCAGGTTGCCGCTGTTGGGCTCGATGTACCTCATGGTGGCAAAGCGGGCCAGCCCCTCCTCATAGACAAAGATCTTCAGGGGGTCGCAGGAGGTGACCAAGACGTAAATACGCATGTCAAACTTAAAGCCGTCAATGAGGAAGGGCTACAAAGAGAGGATGAGAGGCTGAGGGGAAGGAACAATCCCCAGACGGCTAGCCCCGGGGTCCCATTCTTGGCTCTGTGGGGCTCTTGCTCTCCGTCCCGGGGCTGGGCAACGGTTGGCCCCCCCAGGCCCCCGGGCTCACCTTAGTAATATACTGCTGGCAGATCATGTGCTCGCCATGCTTTATTTCCTTGGGGTTCCGGGTAATGAAGATGCCCCGCCCCTGGCAGCCACTGTCCGGCTTGCAAATGTACGTCCTGTTCTTCCGCATTTGCCCATAGGCTTGGAAGTCCCCATAGCTGCAGAAAGGCAACACAGGGACCGGCATGTAAGCGACCCGCATCCCGTGCCATGTCAACTGGGAGGGTTGGCGCAACCACAAGCCGCCCCCCCTTCACTCACTCAGCTGGCAAGCACCAGGTGCGAGGGAAGATGCAGTACTCCTTGGGAAAGAGCCTCAGCATCCGGTTGAGGTTGCGGGCCAGCAGGTCCTTGCGGCAGATCTCGGCCATGCCAGGAAAGTGGTTGATTTTCTGGAATGAAGCAAAAGCAGGAGACGGGAAAGGAAGCGCCTTGGCACAGCTTCCGTTTTGTTGCTCTGCAGAATTGTTTTGCCCCACTTTTCAGTCACGGAATGCATCTCCCCAAAGAGCTCCAACGTTTAAGAAAACAATTATGAATACATGTAAAAAACAACAAGCCCAACCTCCATAACAAAAAAGTAAAGGCACGTTAGGCACGTTTTATTCATTTCACTCAATAACTGAACAAAGTGAATTGCTTCATAAAAGTAAACATGGGGTGGTGATGGAAATACCACAGGGAAGAGCCCAACTATGGCTCCTCCCTGGTGAGTCCCTATTCTGCATCCTTTCCCCACTGCTGGAGCTACATGGAATGGGCAACGGAAGCCCTAGTGCCGCGGTCCCTCCCTTTCCGCCCCCCACCTGAAGAACCGGACAGTCAGCCAGCCCTCCCAAGCCATCAGAGAAGTGAAATCAGGACTCCTCTTGGGTTTTCTCTGCTCCCGTCCACCCTGGCTGGGCTGGGTACCTGAAACCTCTTCATTTCCATGACACGCTCCAGTGAGACTGAGCAGTCAGTCCAGTACACAGTCCACTCCTCATCCTCCCCGACTTCTTTCAGGCCACAGCGCCGAGCAGCACGCCTAACTGCAGCAAAGGAAGCAGAAGGAGACAAAGCTGGTTCCAAGGAGGCATCCCATGATCTTCGGGCCTTGCTTGCAGGACCAGAAGCTACGCGCGACTGAGCGTCAGGAATGGTCCTTCAGGTTATTCAACCCCTCCAAGGGAGTCCCCGGAACCGACCCCCCCCACTCCCCTTTGCCGGCAAGGGACCCAGGGGCTCTCCTGGCCCAGATTACACAGCGCTGGCTCGTTCCTGCCCTGTTGCACAGCGCTAATAAAGGAAGCAGCATTTCGTCCTCCTCCGGGATGCAAAAGCGGCATCTCCTGCTTCTGCCCCCTCCGGAAAACCCCGCAGGTTTCATTCTTCGTACAGGAGGGAAACCCGGGCGACCTCCGGGCGTTTCTCCTTCGCTCGGACTCTGCGCCCGGGGAAGGCGCCGAAGAAGCCGCCGTTGGGACTCACCGCTTTCGTATTTGCAGTTCGCGAGGTTGATGGAAAGCAGCCTGGGGGGGGAGAGAGAAGGAAGGGGGTCGCAAGGAGAAGCCCCGGCCGGCCGCAGGAGGCCGCCCGGGACGCTGCGCCCGCCCGCCCGCCCGCCCCGCCCGCCCTCAGGGACCGCACCGGTGCCGCCTCTTCCTTTTCGGCCGGGGCTCCTCCGGCTCGCCCTCCTCCGCCGTGGGTTCCTCCGGGCCGGCTCCGGGCTGCTCCCGGCCGGGCTCTGGGCCTTTGTCCGGAAGGGAGCCGCGCGGAGGCTCCCTCCGCTCGGCCTCCGGCCTCTTCAGGCATTCGTTGGCAGACTCGTCCGACAGGCCGCCGTCCTCCTCCTCCTCCTCGTCCTCCTCCTCGTCGCTTTCGTTCTCGGACTCGCTGCTCTCTTCTCGGCCGATCTTCATCCTCTCGGGCCCTTTGGCGAGAGCAGCAGCCCGGCCGTCAGCGCGGCGGCAGCGATTGTGACAACCGCGACCATTATTACCGCGAGGCGCGACGCCCCTGCCCGCCTTGCCGGCGGCCGTCCGCCCGCGGAGCTCAGCCGGGACACCCCCGCGCACGGGCCAGGGGAAGCCTCGTTCGCGGCCGGCCCAACCGCCCGCCCGGCTCACCGAGCCCGGCGGCTCTCCTGGCGCAGCAGCGGCGCCCGAGGCTGCCTCGGGCCCCGACGCGGTCACCATGCCGACCAGGAGCCCCGCCCCTCAGGGAGCCTACGGAGCGCGCGCGAGGCCCTGGCGCCACAGCAACGAGGGACGCGAAGGAGGGACGCAAACAGCTCTTTCGTCATCTCTCGGCGACACGACGTCTCCGCCCACGCCCCGCCCCTTGCGGCCGAGACGTTTCTGCTCGGCCCGTATTGGGCGGCGGCCGTCGCGCCGCTCGGAGGAGGGGGCTGCAGGGAGGGAGAGATGTGATTCAATATCTTAGTTCAAATGAAATTTCTTTTTCACTGCCATGAATTCTTTTGCTGACCAACTTTACTGTTTTATGCCCCCCCCTCCCCGCTCCCAGGGCTGTGTTATATATGGGACGCCAGATACTGTTCAAAAATCAGTTCAGATGCATTGGTCCTGCATTTTGCATAGCATACTTTACCTCCAAAGGGACTACACGCGGGGTGCATTTTTCGGTTGTATTAAGAAAATGTATTAATAGTGTTTAAAACCATTCATGGGCCTGCTGGATTGGAGCAGCATTTATATACTTCATAAATTCATATACTTTATTTTATGAGCTCTCTTTTATTTGTAGGGGAAAGACAGAATTGTATGCTGTAAATGTATTTAATGAACGTAGACTGCAATATGAGAAGGACTGGATCAGAAGAAATAGAAATTGGAATTAACATTACAGGAAAATAGCTTTGACAATTTTATATAAGCTGAGGATGAATGAGGAAAGGGTTGCAATATTGAATCTTCTGAATCAAAACAGACCTATAAGGGACCTTGGAGGTTTTGCAACACGAGTTTTGCCTGCAAAATCAAATTAGAGAAAGGCCTTTGTGTGTCCCAGGAAGACTTGCAGAGTAGAAACCCAGCCATGGCAAAAGCCCCCCTGAGCCGGGCTTCCTCTGGAGCAGCCCCACCTGGGGAAGACCCTCCGCATCCTGGACCCGAAAGTCAGGCAGGCCCTTGAGGCGAGGGAGGCCGCTCTCTGAGGAGGTCCACAAGCTCCCGCTGAAGCTGGGCGAACTGGCTGGCGGGGAGCAGACATTGCTGGATCCGGTGAAGCGCGGAGGCCTCGGTCAGGCCCTCGTATTCCTGGACAGTCTTGGTGGGCAGGTGTCCCGCCAGTTCACACACGGCCACGTTGAAGGCCGATTCTTCCTTGGTCCCGAAGCAGCTTTTCCGCGCCCAAAGGAGCACCCGGATCCCGGGCCGAGCCCTGGAGCCGAGGGGGCCTTCGGGGGCGGCCCCGCGCGTGGCGAAGAGGTTGTGGGCGATCTCTTGCTGGGTCAGGTGGCCGGTGATCCGGCTGATCCGACGGGCCAGCAGCTCCACCTGCGCCCCGTCGTCGCAGTAGAAGAGGAAGGCGGGCGCCGGGGCTTCCCGTAGCAGGTAGAGGCCCGCTGCGGGCAGGAGGGGCTCGCCGGGCGCGGACTCCACCCGGAGCTCCCAGTCCAGGTAGAAGCCGTGCAGGTGCAGGTGGTTGACGGAGGCAAAGGCGCCCAGGCTGTTGAAGCCCAGGCGGAAGCCGGGGTGGGCGCTGAGGAGCACGGCCTCCAGCCCCGCCCGCAGGGCCTCGGCGGTGAGGACCTGCGGCAGGGCCAGCGCCGGGTCGGGGATGAGCAGCACGTGGCCCCGCTCCAGCGGGCTGACGTTGATGGCCACCAGGGTCCGGGCCGAGCCGGGGCAGGAGCGGCGCAGGCAGAAGAGGGCCTCCTCCCGCCGGATCTGGCCGAAGTGGAACTGCCGCGGGTCGAAGCTCTGCCGGACGCTGCGGACCTCCTGGGGCCGCCGCCTCTCCGTCGCCCGCTGGACGTTCAGCTGGGCCACCAGCCCCAGCCTGCCCGGGAGGCGCCGCGTCGGGAGCCGGCCCAGGCGGTAGCGGAACAGGCCCCGCCGCAGCCGCTCGGCCCAGCCTTCCCGCAGCGCCCGGTCGAAGCGCGACCAGGCGGGGTGGACGGCCGCCCCCGCGCCGCCGCCGCCGCCGCTCGGCCACTCCACCCCGCGCAGCACCAGCTCCTCCGGCCCGTAGGAAAAGAGCTCGGGGCTCTCTGCCGCATCTTCTCCACGGCGGAGCCCGGCGAGGCCGCGCTCTCCTTCGAGGACTTCCTGGACCTGCTGAGCGTCTTCAGCGACTCGGCCACCCCCGAAGTCAAGTCGCATTACGCCTTCCGCCTCTTCGGTAGGGAGGGTCGCGGCCGCGCCTGCTGCTCTCCGCCCGGGCGGCCCAACGGAGGAGGCCGCGCCGCGCCCGACAAGCAGCCGGGGGCCCCTTCGAGGGCCGCCGCTTGCGGGCTTCCCTGCGCTTGGTTGCCTGGCGCGGGGCGTCCGGGTCCGGGGCTCCCTTCTCTCCGGGGCCTCTTGCTTTGCACCAGCCCGGGGGGGGGGGACCTTCCTGGCCCTGGGGGCTGTTTCCACCAGCAAGGCGGGGAATCCTCCTCCCTCCCTCGCTGGATCCCAAGGGGGCAGCGGCCGTTTCCAGATCCCTGGATGTGAAGAAGGTACCGAAGAGAGTCACTTTCCCCTGCCAAATTGGGGGGCGGGGGGGTGGGGGTTGTTTCTCTCCTGCCTGAATGAACTTGGAGCTGAGCCTTGCCTCCTCCTCCTCCTCCTCAACGCCCCTAACCGGAGCTGAGAAGGCTGCTGGCTTTGGGGAGGCTGAGCCCGGCTTCTCCCCAGATTTCGACGATGACGGCACTCTAGACAAGAAGGACTTGGAGAAACTGGTGAACTCCCTGACGGGAGAAGGAGAAGACAGCAGGCTGAGCCTGGTGGAGATGGAGCAGCTCATCCAGAACGTGAGTGATGGGGGGGGGGACACACGGCTGGAGGGCTGGCCAGGAAGGGCACAGCCAACTCTGACCCCCCCCCTCCATCTGGACAGATCTTGGAGGAATCGGATATTGACAAAGACGGGACCATCAACCTCTCCGAGTTCCAGCACATCATTTCCCGCTCTCCAGACTTCACCAGGTGACTCCGTTTTTCTTGGGCTGGGTTTTGGCTGAATCGGTTGTGCTCTGGAAGGAGCCTGGTCGGCCTCTGATAACCGATTCCTGTATTTTCCTTCCAGCTCCTTCAAGATCGTCCTGTGATTCTTTTCTTCCCTGACTTGCTAGAAGATTCCCCACCTCAGAAAGCGGCTGGTTTTTCTCAGAGCACCCAGGAGCCCCAAGTAGCTCGGCCCCACCGAGCTCTTAGAGCCCCTTCAACCGTGGCCTTGCGGGCACCGCCACCAGCGGGGGCTTCTCTCCGGAGGGCTGGGGCAAGGACCCAGGGAGCTGGTGTTCTGTGCTCCTGCCTCACTCGGCAGTTCTGGGCAATGGCTTTTGGGGTGGCAGGGGCAAATTGGGACAGGGCTTTGACGTCGCTCCCGCTGCTGCTTTCTGGTGGAGCACCGGACCCTCTTCCAATTAAACCCTGCTGGGCGCCTTGGGAGGTCCGACTCACTGGACCATTTTTCTTGCTTTCTGAGTGTTGGGGAAGAACACTGGCCATAAGCCAGCCTCTCGAGTTGGATGAATAGTCGTGACAGGACTTTGATTTCTACACTTTGCAAAATAAAACTTAACAAACTCACTCATGTTCTTCCATCTTTATTTCGCTTTCCAAAGAACCAGCTCATCTATATCGCTCCCAGCACAGCAGAAGGTGCCCAATTCTGCCCTTGAAGGAGTGCAGAACAGAAAAACAGCTGCTTTGCTGCCTTCCCAGTCTTTGACACCCTTCAACCCTCTCACGTGGGGGGGGGGGGGAAGCTGACCGCAGTAGGACTGCAAGAGCCCCACCCAGTCCTTGGCCAACAGCTGTAGCAGCTGCCAAGCCCCCTTCCCTCTGGGAGCCCAAAGCAGCGCACAAAGGTCCCTGCTTCCAAGGGGGCAAGACGGTTTCCCTGCAGGAATCCTGGCGGGGCCTCTTGGGCCTTCCAGGGTTTAACACCTTGGCGGGGGGGGGACGGCTTGGCCTTTTCACAAGGCAGCCACCACCAGTTGGTACAACAGGCCAAGGGAGGTGGTCATAGACCACAAACAATGATCAGGTAGTCAACCAAATCGCAGGACCCAAAGCCAAAGCCAGGCCCCCTGCTAGGGCAACTGCACCTGAGTTCCCAGGGACGAGATCGACTGGAAGAAAATTGCTTCCCCTTCTTTAGGCCAGCCCAAACCTTTAGTAACAGGGCAGCGGTCCAGCTAAGTACCAGCTAAGGTGTCAAGGGCGGCACAGGAACTGTTTCAAGGGCTTCACCCAAACGTGGTCCAAGAGTCCTGGATCACGGCTCTTCCCTTCCCTGGAAGGCGAGATATTGAGCCTATGTGAAACGGACGGGTCATGAAATGTTTTGCGGTGGAGAAAGGCCTTTTAAGGTGTGATGACTGGAGCCTGTCAAATCTCAGGAGGCAAATCTTTTGAAACGGGCTCCTTTGAAGAGCTGGCTGTAGCTTCGGTTGTTCTGGAGGGCAGCCCTGCAGGATGCTCCCTGGTGCTTCCCGAATTTCCCCTATGACCCACTCGCTTCCCCAAGACCACGTCTCTGGTTTTAGAGACAAAGGAATCCACACGGGGGAGTCAGTTTCTGACTCCCCCCGTTTTCCTCCCTAGCGCACAGTTCACTGGAAGTCAGACCAACGTATCTCCCAGGCTCAGGATGCTCCCCCAGAGGGTCTCCTTTCACAGGTGACTTCCAGGAGGGTCTTTGGTACCACACAGGTTACCCTCCCAGCAAGGGTCCCTCCCACACAGGCCAAGGAAGTGGGAGCCAGGTGCCCACAGGAAAGTTGTCCCATTCTGTCCTGCCCTGGCAGGGCTTGTAAGGACGGACCGCTGGAGCTGAAGGGCGGCTGCACCTGGATTCTGCACCTGGAGGCCACCCGTAGGGGGCATGACTGCCCACTGCCATGCAGGAACCCTGCCGCAGAGCGAAGCGTGCCTGGCCCCATTCCACGACCGAGTGGGTCTGCCCTTCTTCCTCTGCCCGAGTATGGTGGCACCAGAAGACTCTGCCCGGCTCCTTTCCGGCCCACAGGATGGCGCCTCTTGGGCAAGGTCACACCACCGAGTCCTGGATCTCGGAGCCAAGGCGAACCCGAGGGCGCTGGGCAGGACCCAACACCTCCACAAAGGTCTTGGCTATATGAAGTGGTCGCTGATCGGACTCCAGAAAAGCCACGCGTGGGCAGGCCAGGGACTCGTGCCCAGGCGTGCTCGCCACAAGACCCTCACACAGAGCCTGGTAGCCCTTGTGGTCTGACAGAGCGCCAGGCACGTTCAAGCCCCCCAGGGGAGGCGCATTCTCAGCGGGCAGGGCCTCCCTCTCCCGCGAGGTCCGGGGATGGGACCAGCTGCACCGGCCTTCCTTGAGGCAGACCTTCAGGCTGACTTGGTGCTTGTGCAGCGTGAAAAGGACCAGCAGCGTCACCGCGGTGCTGAAGAGCACACACATCACCAGGAACTCGGCCCAGTAGCTCCTGCCCTCCAACAGCATCGCGACGTTCTCTCCCGAGATGCTCCTGGAGGTGCTGAGGGTCTTCAGGGGGTCTTGGGCAGGCACCAGCTTGGCCCAGAGCCCTGGCTCCACGGTCACGCAGTAGCTCACCATCAACTGCCGGAAGCTGCCCTCATGAGACCAGCATTCGTAGTTCCCCTCCTCGGCTGGGCTCCCCACCAGCAGCACTTCCCCCGTGGGCAGCACCGGGAAGGTGGAGGCCAGAGCAGCCCCGTTGTGCACCCAGTGCCGGGAAGCCAGGTTGGACAGCAGCGGGCAGGGCAGCGGCATCACCCTGTTGGGCTGGAGCACCACCTGCTGGCACTGGAGTGGCTCTCCTGGGGGGGGGGGGGGGGGGGGAGAGGGCCTGTCAGGTCCGGCTACGGCCTTTTCACCTTGGCTCCAGCCCAGGAGACGCCAGTCCCTGCCCGAGACTTCCCCCAACATTCAAAGCCAGAGCCCGGCCAGGCTGACCCGTTACCTGCAGAATGGCCGAGTTCCACACCGCTGGTCCGGCACAGCTGGCTGGTCTCGGCCCCTTCGATGTCCTGGACCCAGGTCCTGGTGGGGGAGAGAGGGTGAGGAGCAGGAGGGGAACCCCGAGGACCATGGGCCCCTGTCAGTGCACCAGGTGGGGAAGAGGAGGAGCAGCAGCAGCAAGGGACTCTGGGGGAAGGGAGGGGGCCGGTCCCCGTAGGCCGAGGGGCCGGATCCAGGAAGCACTCACGCTGGCTGGAGCGGCCAAGGGCTGGGGAAGAGCGGCTGGCAGGCCCCTCCACCCCAGGCACAGTAGGGGTCTCCGGCCAGGACACACTCTCCACAGCTGCGGTACAGGCTGCAATTGGCCACAGGCACCTGCGCCAGGGCATCGTACGAGGCGGCGTAGACCAGGCCCTGCGGGGAGAACAGGAAAGGCTCCAGCAGGAGCACCACGGGGCATCCTTACCCAAGGACGCTGGAAGGGGCTGGGCCACCCTCCCGCTGCCACCACCCCCCGCCCCCCCGGGCAGAGGCATTGCCCTGGCATCGGGAGAGACGCCTCTGCTGTGATCAGGCCGGGGGGGCGGGGGGCCTTCGGCCCTGTATCCAGCGGCTCTCGCGAACTGAGCAGGGACCCAGACGGGCATCCCGTCCCCCCAACAGAGGAAGCGGCAGCCGCCGCCTGGCTGGCCCTGATCCAGAAGCCCCGATCCAAACACCTGGCCCCGAGGCCGGCTGGCTCCTCTCACATGAAGAACCGGGGCCAGGGGTCACCCGCCCCCCCCCCCCGCTTGGCCTCGGCTCTTGCCTGGGTGGGGTCCAGCAGCAGCTCCAGCACCGGCTGCTCTGCAGGGAAGAGGCGCAGCTCCTCGATGATGCGGACTCCCCGCCTGGTGATCACCGCCTTATGCAGGCGGCCGTCATCTACAAGACCCAAGAGGTGCCCGGTGAGGGTCCCATGGGCTGCCTCCAGGCCCCCCTCCCTCCCTCCCCACCAGGAGGCCCCCCCTGCCCCGCCCTCCGAGCTCCGAGAAGGTGGGAAAGGCCCCCACGCAGGCTTGGCTCCAGCGTCAGCCCCTCTGCCGTCTTCCTTGGCTGCCCTGAGCCGCTCTGGCTTCAGGTTCCGCATCCGCCAACTCACCCGCTGCCCACAAAGCCCCCTCTCTGCTGACGCGGCCAGCCTGAAGCGGTGGCCATGCCA